TATCCTTCTCTCCCCCCTCACATTTCTCTCTCTCCCTCCACCCCCTTGGTCTTATCCCTCACTCCCCATACTCTCTCTCCTCTCTCTCCCTCTTTCCCTACCCGTTCTCTCTCTCTCTTTTTTTTTTTTTTTTTTTTTTTTTTTTTACAATCAGGGTTTGACAAGGTTAGGATCCTACTTTATTGACAGCTATGTTACATGTTAGGGATTCTAACTTTATTTGGCAAGCTATGAGCTGTACCTACATCAGCTCATCGAAAGCATTATTATGTTATGGACATACAAGTGGAACAGATGAAGTTGGAGCCATCTGTGGGCCAGCATTTCATTTGATCAACTGACGTTATCTCGTTTACAATCATTATGCCTGTACGAATGTGTTCCATACCGAGTCATCCTGGTAGTATATCTCTACCCTTTCTCTCTCCTCTCTCTCCCTCTGTCTATTTCTACCCTTTCTCTCTCTCCCCCGCCCCCACAACCCCCTCCCTCCTCAAGCCTTCTGTCGTGTAATAATAAAAAAAAAAAAAAAAAAAAAAAAAAAAAAAAAAAAAAAAAAAATGGGTGGCCTAAGAGGACGGAAAACCAGAGATCTGGTAACAACCAGGGAGGAAGACTGGGAGTTAGAGCTCCAAAAAAAGATTAAGATTGGGAAGGAAGATAGTAGAGCTTGGTAGAACTGGAGAGCGGATACTGAAGAGTGCAGAAGTGGAAGTACAGGTCTTAGCAGCAGAAGCAGATTACTGTGCTTAGAAGAGAAACTGCAAAGTCCTGAAACAGATTAGAGAGACAATGACAATTCAGATGTGAACTCAGGAAATTCAAAGTCAGAGGCGCAGACAAGGGATGGTAAGCACAACGGAGACATGCCCGTACACGAAGGCACTATCAGACCCACATGGGGCCAGAGAAAAGACGATGAGCACACTAAGATAGCGACAGGTCCCGAAGACAATGAAGGTTTGTTATATGCAGAGATTCTAACAGCCAACTGCATTAGCAAGGTACAGCTGGTCTGGAAAGACAGTTCACGTGAGAATAGAAAGTTTCATAATATGACAGGGGACTGAAGCAAGAACATTCAAAGGAAGGAAATAAAATCCTCAGAGGTAGCAGATGAGACTCAGTGGGAGGAGGAAAGGCGAGGGTCAGTTTTTGTGTAACGGCTCCAAGAAGCCAAGGCCAACTTTGAAGAATAAAACAGGAGGAGAAAAAATGATTGAGAGGCATCATGAAAACCATAGGGGAGGGCAATATGACCAGGTGAACAAATTTCAGAGAATTGGGTGTTTGCGAGTGGAAAGGATATGCCTGACAGAGTAAAACTTTCAAGAGAAGAATCATTTTCGAACCAGGATTCTCAAGAGAAAGCAAGACTGAGGACCATAAGAGGGGTACCAGAGAGTATACCTCGACCCGCGACAGAACACAAGAAATAAAGGACTACACTGAAAGAGAGGGTACAAGACACAAGGAGGAACGAGAAGCATGAAAATGAGCGTCCAAGACACAGGATGAAGGGCAAACACACCCACAGAATCTCCACAAAAGACTCCACCCGCGACATTCCCAACGCAACTGACAACCTATACTACAAACCCCCTCACTGTTCACTTCTGCCACCAACCCCCATAGCACAAACCCACCCGACAGCTTTCCCCTTTATGGGCAGTCTGACCCACCCCCAACCACCCAAACTCCCACCTTACACCACAGCCCTCATAGAGGCCCCCACCAAGGCTCTCGCTCCACAACAACCCAATATACTTTACGTCATGACCACAATGATAGAAAAGAAACTAAAGGTTTGGTACACAAACGCGGTATGAATAACGAATAAACATGAGGGAGTGGAATGAACGAATCAGTGAAAAATCCCCAACATCATAGCAGTCACAGAATACAAAACTCCTGAGACAATTAACAACACAATCTTCCCAACAGAAATCAGATCTGATGAAAGATAAGAGGAGTAAGGGGAGGAGGGGTTGCACTGCTCCGAAACACCAAATGGGGATTTGAGGAAATGGGAAGGCATGGACTGATTGGAGAAAGTGGACTACATTGTAGGTACAAATTCAGTCCTGGAGAACTAAAGTAGTCATTGGAGTATGTAATAACCCACCACAGAACGGCAGGAGGCCAAGAGAGGAGTACGAAGAAAACAACAGGTGATGGTGGACACACTTGGCTGAGGGGCAAGAAGAGCGCATCTCGAGCAGAGCAAAGTTACTGGTAATGGGCGATTTTCAACCACAGGAGACGACCTGGGAAAACCTGGAGCCACATGGGTCCCGAAACATGGAGAGCCAAGATATGGAGTGGTACTTGAAAACCTCATGCATCAACATGTCAGGGACACAACCATAGAGGAGAGGGAGGATGAGCCAGCAAGACTGGATCTTGTGTTCACCCCTGAGCAGTCAGACTTGATACATTCACTTATGAGAGGCCCCTTGGATCTAGCGATCAGGTGGTTCTGAGTTTTTGACTATATATTGAGTACAAGTGAGAAGTAACAGGAACTGAAGGGACAGGCCAAACTATAAAAGGGGGGACTACACAGGTTGAGAAACTTCCTGCAGAGGTTCAGTGGACAGAGAAATGGAGGAAAATCAGTAAACGAATGATGTAATATGTGGCATCAAAGTGCAAGGAGGCTGAGGAAAGTTTTTTCCCAAGGGAAACAGAAATAATAGGAAGACCAAAACGAGTCCTTGGTTACCCGAAGGTGTTAGGGAGCAAAAACTAAGTGCAACAGAGAATGGAAAAGTACAGGAGGCATAGGACCCAGGAAAACTAGAGATTAGTAGAAAGCCATAAACGGTATGCGCAGATAAGGAGGGAGTCCAGCGACAGTAAATGAAAACGACATAGCATCGAAAGTCAATCTGACCCGAAACTGCTGTATAGCCACTTAGGAGGAGACAACAGTCAAGGACCAGGTGATAAGGCTGAGGAAAGAGGTGGAACTCACAAGAACCGATCAAGCGGTATGTGAGGAGCTCAAACGAGATTAAGGAGTATTACAGTAAGACAGGAAGACTCTGGGGGGACAGACCATATGGGGACACAACAAGGAATACACACACAAGTGTTTGATCGACATACATACCAGATGAGGAGGAGGTGAAGAAACTGCTAAGAAGGACATCGATACCTCAAAGGCAATTGGACCGACAACATCTCTCCGTGGGTCCTTAGAGAGGGAGCAGATATGTTGTGTGTACACTTACCACAATCCTTCAACACATCCCTGGAAACTGGGCAAACTACCTGAGGTAGGAAGACGGCAAATGTAGTTCCCATTTTTCAAAAAAAGGAGACAGAAAAGAGCACTTAAACTATAGACCGAGTCAATGACGTGTATTAATTATGCAAAATATGGAGAAGATTATCCAGGAGGAGAGTGGTGGAGTACCGAACGGACAGGAGTATAAATGCCCAACCAGCGCACATTCACGGAAGGCAAATCCTGTGTCCACAACCTTCTGGAGTTTTATTATGAAAATAACAGAAGTAAGATCAAGAGAGAGAGGGTGGGTTGATTGCATCTTCTTGTACTGCCAAGAAGGCCTTTGACACAAGTTCCTCAAAAAGATTAGTGCATAAGCTAGAGCATCAGCGCATATAACAGGAAGGGCACGCAATGATCAGAGAATACCTGACAGGGAGGCAACAAAACGAGTCATGGTACGTAATGATGTATCACAGTGGGCACTGTACGAGCGGTCCCACTGGGTCGGTCCTAGGACCAGTGCTATTTTTGGTATATGTGAACGACATGACGGAAGGTTTTTGACTCAGAAGTGTCCCTGTTTGCAGATGATGTTGAAGTTAATGAGGAGATTAAATCTGATGAGGACCAGCAGGACTTCAAAGAGACCTGGACAGACTGGACACCTGTCCAGCAAATGCTCTCGTAATTTAATCCTGCCAAAATGCAAAGTCATGAGATAGGGGAAGGGCACAGAAGACACAGAAAGAGTAATAGGCATGTGGCCGAATACAAAGAACAAACCATCACTCAAGGAGAAAGATCATGGGGTAGTATAACACCTGAGCAAGTATCCGGAACACACATCAATCAATAACTGCTGCATCAATATGGGCGCCTGGCAAACCTGAGACAGCATTCCGATACCTTAGTAAAGGAATCATTCAAGACACAGTAACAACCGTGTATGTCAGCCCATACTGGAGTATGCACCACCTGTTTGAACCCGCACTTGATAAAGCACGTCAAGAAACTAGAAAAGTACAAAGGTTTGCTAACAAGGTTAGTTCCAGAGCTAAGTGAATGTTCCCTAAAGAAAGATTAAGGGAAATCGGCCTGACGACACTAGGACAGCGGGTTCAGGGAAGACCATGAAACGACATATAAAATACTGCGTGGAATAGACAAGGTGGACAAGGACAGATTGTCCAGGAGGGGACACAGCAACAAGAGGCCACAATTGGAAGTTTGAAGACACAAATGAGTCAGAGAGATAGTAGAATATTTTCTTCAGTCCCATAGAGTTGTAAGGCAGTGGAATAGCCTAGAAAATGACGTAGTGGAGGCAGGAACCATACACAGTTTTAAGACGAGGTTTGATAAAGCTCATGGAGCGCGGAGAGAGAGGGCCTAGTAGCAACCGGTGAAGAGGCGGGGCCAGGAGCTAGGACTCGACCCCTGCAACCACAAATAGGTGAGTACAAATAGGTGAGTACACACACACAATCACACACACACACGACCCCAGCCTAGTGCAAATCGACATGTGCCTTGGACAAAATGGTAACTCCTCGCCACCACACTACCATACACTCACCACTACTCACTCCCTCTGCTGTGTTTCCGCTGTTTTCCATGTGAATTCATTGCCTGAGCTGTATATCCGTGTGCCCGAGGCCACACGAAACTACGCAGATCAGCATGCCACATAGATCAGCAAGCCACGCAGATCAGCATGCCACGTAGATCAGAAAGCTATAGAATCACACGCCAGTAGACCACGATGCACGTGATCCCGACACCACGTTGGGTGTGGGCAATGTCACGTCGACCTACTAGCCACGTGAGTTACCAAGCCAGATGTCGCAAGCCACATGCTGTGGTCTGCTGCCGACTTCATGACATCACGGACGATGCTGCCCGACTTCATGACGTCACGATGTCTGCGTGACGTTACCTCGAGATGTCTGCTGATGTCACAGAGCTGCTGACATCACCTCGCGACATCACATGATGTCACATCGAGTGTTTCTAGTAATAATTTCAGTATTGTCGAGAAGATTGAGAGAAGATATATGTCGTGTGTTAATTAATTCCTCTCAGTCAGTGTTCTCACAGGTTAGTGCACTGCATGTACTGCGGGTGTGTGTAGCTTCCGTGTGTCCAGTGAGGTCTGAGCCAGACCTGAGTAGCACCACTGTGCTCCGTCCACCCGTGTGACCAGTTTGTTTGACAACTGTTATCAGTCAGTTCTGAACTCGAGCTCCTCTTGTACAGAAATCTCTTATGCTCGTCGCTCATAGATGTTCTGCAGAATCGTACATGCTACGATTCCCATCGAGATTTGTTTCACTTCACCTCCAGACCTTCAGAATGCAGTTATATGTAGAGAAACATGTCTGGGGATGCTTAGACTAACCTCTGCTGTAACTCCAACTGCCAAGAGAATGACATTCGTCAAGTCGCAGTTAGCCACTGTCGGCAAGCGCTGTCAGCCTTGTGTCACAAGCTTCAGTGAGCAGCCTGCACAAAGATGATGTCACTTTGACTGCTAGCTCTCTCACTGCAGTCTGGTGAATGATGTTATGACTCCCAGATGTTTCGCCCAGTCGTCTCTGCCACGACTCGCTCCACGATTCGCTCCACATTCACCGGCAGTGACAGCCCAGCGACAGTGCCAGTCGAGAAGTGTCCTCCTGAGTCACTTGCCAGAAGTACTGCCCAGTTGCCGAGTTTTGACGACGCCTCACTCGAGGGCACCAGCATGTCGTGCCCCAGGTTGAGTGAAAACCTGCAGAGACTCCTACGATGACTGTTTCACCGTTCCAGAGGAGACCGTACCCTGTTACGTCACAGCTCAGCCACAGCGATGTCTCCCGTGTTGCAGTATCTGTCCAGACGCAGGAAGGAGTGCAGTGATGCCCTTCAACGCTCACTGCCTATGACCACGATGTTTAGCACACCCCACGTTTTTTTCTTCCCTCCCTGTAGGAAGTTTTTTTTTTCTATGTCCATATGTATATATATGTTTTTATTTTGTGTTCTGTGCCCTGTTCCTACGACAGAGAGACCGAGTTTTTTTTTACCACCAGTATTTTCGCGCCGAGACGACGCGAGGTAAATGGCTGAGCGTATGTAGACAGCCTGTACTGTCTGCACAGACAGCCTTGTTGTCTGCCAGCTTAGCTCATATTTCGTGGCACTAAGGTGCTGCCCTCTGTAGCCAGGCCTCTCGGTGGGAAAGCCAGCCTGCCTGCCCTTGCCTCTGCCTCACTCTCACAGCGGCCTGGCAGCAAGAGAGAAGGCACACTAGTTCTATCGTGGGATGGCCCTCACGGGCCATGGGCACAACACATAAGCCTGTGTACCCACAACGACTTAACAATAAAGTAAGATGCCTCCGAAGACGTTTATCATTCGCACGCCCGCTACCAGAACAGCCAAATAAACCAATTATACTAACACCAGTTTACACCCTGCTGACACCAGTGTACATCCTGCTAACACCAGTGTACACCCTCCTAAAACCAGTGTACACCCTAACACCACCGTACACCCTGCTAACCAATGTACACCCTGTTAACACCAGTGTACACCCTGCTAACACCAGTGTACACCCTACTAACACCAGTGTACACCCTACAAACACCAGTGTACACCCTGTTAACACTGCTAACACCAGTGTTCACCCTGCTAACACCAGTGTACACCCTACTTACGCCAATGTACACCCTGTTAACCTTGACACCCTCAACCCCACTGTACACCCACTAACACTATGACAAACTGTTAACACTAGTGTACCCCCGCTAACACCAATGACACCCTTTTAACACTAGTGTAAAACCGTTTTTACCCCAGTGTACACCCATGCAACCCCAATGTCCACCTGTTAAACAAGTACACCCTTTTAAAAAAATGTACACCCTGTTAAACCAAAGAAAACCCTGTTAACACAGTGTCCCCCCCTCAAACCCCCAATGTTCCCCCTGCGCCCCAGGAAAACCCCCTTTTAACGCAGTGTACCCCATGCTAACCCCAAAAGTACATTTTTACACAAGTGTACCCCGTTAACAAAATGACACCCTTTAATCCCAATGTACACCCTGTTAACACAGTGTACACCCTTTAAAAACACCAATGTACCCCCTGAAACCCAAAAATGCACCCTGTAACAAAAGGACACCCTCTTAAACAAGTGTACCCCCTGTTAACACCATGACAATTTTTAACACCTTTTGTACCCCCCTGTAACACCAGTGAAAACCCGTTAACGTCAGTGTAAAAAACCCTTCTAAGACCGTGAAAAACCCCTTTTAAAACAGTGTACACCTTAACCCCATGTACCCTGAGTTTACCGGGAGAGATTTGGGGGGTCAACCCCCCCGCGGCCCCGGTCTGTGACCGGCCCCTGGGGATCAGCGCCTGATAAACCCGGGCTGTTCTGCGGGCGCACGAAAACCCAAGTAGGGCCCGCCCGGCTGATCAAACTGATTTTAGGTGTTTTCCCATGCAAGTTTAAAGACTGCCGGGGTCTTTTGGGTAATCCCCCTTTAGTGTGCGGGGAGGGGGTAAACAGCCCCGGGGGCCCCTGAACTTATTGTATGGTCTTTTAAAACGTTAGTGACCCCCTGTTTTTTCTTTGGGGGGATGGTGCATCGTCGCCCAAGTCTTTTTCTTTCGCAGTGAGGATTTTCGTGTGCAATTCGGTACTAGTCCCCTAGGATTTTCCGTGTATAAAATCATGTTTTCTTCCCCCTGCGTTCCGGGAAACGGGTTTAGGAAACCTAAGCGCCCCGTAATTGAGTGTTTTTTATCTCCGTTATGCGCGCCGTGAAAATTCTTGTACATTTTTAAGGGCGCAATTTCACCTGCCTTGAAAGGGGGCTTGGTGCAGCAATATTCCAGCCTAGATAGAAAAAGTGACCGAAGGTGCTCATGGGGTTTGGCCTCCCCATTTTGAAGGTTCTCATTATTTCCCACGTCATTTTTTTTAGAATCGATTTGATACAATTTAGGTCCTTGAAGGTGAGATCCTCCCAATAAACACTCCCCGGTCTTTACGTTGGGTTTCGCTCTATTTGTGGCCAAATTTTTTTTTGTACTCTATGAAGATTTAAATTTCCCCATGTTTTTTCCATATTGAGAATTGAAATTTTCATCGTTTTAACTTCTATTTTTTCTGCGCCCACTGAAAGATTTGGGTTTATGTCCGCCCGGGGCCCCTTTCAGTGTCTGCAATGGAAAACACTGTCAGCAGATTCGGGTGTCATCGCAAAGGAAGACACGGTGTGTGGCTGACATCCGCTATGTCGGATTGAGGATGAGGAACATGATGGGGCGAGTACTAGCTTGGGAACAGAGCTTTTCAACCGTTGCCTGACTTTTCCTGTTGACGACTATCTCTGTTTCTTTGAGGAAATTAAGAACCCTCGACCCACTTTTCCGTTTTCCTTTTTGCACGCATTTTGTGGGGCTATGATAACACCAGTTCCACCCTAGAACACCTGTACACCTTTTAAAAACCTGAACACCCTTTTTAAACAATTACAACCTGTTAAAGCAGGGGACACCTTTTAAGACCATGTTTCACCCTGTTAACAACGTGTACACCTTGTTAACATAGTGTACACCCCGTTAAACCATGTACACCCTGCTAACACAAGTTTAAAAAACCGCAACACCTGATACCCCGCTAGCCCTGTGTACAAAACACAGTGTACCCCTGAACACCAAGACACCATGTTAAAACCATTGTACACCCTCAACACGATGAAAAACCCCGCAAAAACCAAATGAACCCAGTGTACACCCTGTTTCCCGTGTAACACCCTGCTAAACCCGTGTGCACCCCGTTAAACCCGGGCACCCTGTTAACACCATGACAAACCCCCGTTAAACATTTTACACGTGCAAAAAACCATGTCACCCTGTTAACACCAGTGAACACCCTGTTAAAACCAGGGGCACGCGCAACATCAGGGACACCTGTAATCAGTGTACAGCCCCCTGTTCATGCTAACACCAGTTACACCCTTTAAAACCTGTACACCCGTCAAACCTGACACCCCGTTAAGACCAGTGTACACCCTGAAGACCAGTGAAACCCTAAGACCAGGTACACCCGTTAACACCAGGACACCTTTGGGAACAGCAGGTACACCCCTGCTAACCCATGTCCCCTTAACCAAAGTTTACACTCTCTAACACCCGGTTTCACCCTGCTGACACCATGAACACACTTTAGCACCTGAACCCCCGCAACACCATGACCCTGTTAAACCGTGTACATGCAAAAAACCCGTGTCACCCTGCTAACGCCAGGGACACCTTTAAACACCCCCCGGAAAATCCGTTAACACCAGTGTACGCTGTTTAACACCAGTGAAACCCTTAAACCAACGTACACATTCTAACACATGTACACACTGCTAAAAACCAATGTACAACCCGTCTACACGGTACAACCCCGCTAACCCAATGTACCCCCCTGTTAAACCAGTGTACACCCTCCCAACACCATAGCCCCCACTAAAACCCCGAGTACCCCTGAACACCAGTGTACACCAGTTAAAACCAGTGTACACCCTGTAACCCAGTGTAACCCTGAAACCATGTAAAACCCCCGTTAACCAACCCGTGTCACCCTGTTAACCCAGGGAAAACCCAAACACCAGTTAAAGCCCTGTTAAGACCAGTTTACACCTTTTTTTAACACCCGTGTACACCCTGCTAACCCATTTACACCCTGCTAACCCCCAACGTACACCGTGTAACGCAAGTACACCTTAGCACCCGTGACGCCATTTAAAGCAAGTGAAACCCCCAACACCAGTGTACCCC